ATAACAAAACTAAAAAAGGAAAAGGACTCAGAGACTTAGCTGGACACAATCACATGAGAAATTGGCAAAATATACAATTATGAATTAGAAAAGTTAATATACAAATCCAAAAGCTATTGTGTAATTGAAAAGGAGCCAGTATGAAATAACTATTTCGATTGACGTATAAGCATGGCAGATATACAACGCAATGCTAAGGATATTGTTTTTGAGTTTTAAAGTAACTCTAAAGTTAAATCAAACCATATTTATTAAACTAATAAAATAAAATAAAAATAAAAGGATAACATGACTTAGTAGTACTTCTATTTCATTTATTTTCACTTTTCTAACAAATTTTAAAATGCAGAATAAAAAATGACGCTAATATGAAAAATATAAGGAAGAAAGATGAAGAAATAATCTAACCAGTAATTAATGACGGGTATAATATTTTTTTTATTTTTTTTATTCTTATTCTTTCTTTTTTCAGATCTTTCTCAAAAAAAATTTCTTAAAAATTCTACCGCTCTCCAATCTCTCTCTCCTTTGAAAGTTTTTCCCTTTTTATATTCTTTACTTGTGCTTTTATATAAGTTTGTTTAGGATTTTTACAAAACTTAAAAAATCTTTAATTCCTTTTCTCAAATGGGTGATGGGTATAAACTCAGTTCCTTTTCTCATGTTTAGAACTCAAATGGGTGATAGGTATAAACTGTACACTGTAAAATTTTCATTTTTGGAGGCCAATACAATACTTTTTTTTAAATAATATAAATTTTTAAAAGAAATAATATTAATTTAAAATATTCACAACTTTGATGATATAACTCTGTTAATAATTTTTTATACATAAAATTTAAAGTCAAAATTTTGCTTAAAATATCTACTGCAACACTTTCTTTTAAATCCTTTACCTATTTACCATTAAATAGTTAAAAATTATTATTATTATTATTATTATTATTATTATTTTATAAAAATAATTTTAACTAAAAAATATTTATTATATTAAATATATAAATAAAATAATTATTTTTAAATATTTAAAATCAACTTAAAAATTTAACGTTAGCTAAGGGTTGATTCTCCGTAGTCCTATAGTTGCTGAAGTTTTTTTAAGTTAAATTATATTTTTGTTCTCTAACTTTCATCTGTGTTCTATTTTAATCCTCTAATTTTTAATTGTTATTTTATTTCTTATATTTCTAATTAAACAAAATTTGTGCTTTCATTAAATTGTCATTCAATTTTTTAATAATAACTATGTATTTTTCTTCTTCCTCTTCTTTCTGCCATTGTAAACAATATTTTTCTCTCGCATTTACTCTAACTTCAACTTTGACAACGGAGTTAAACCGAAATAGTCTCACCCCTTTAATACCATGAAGCATGTCTTCCAAAGCTCAACCATCAACCAAAGATCATGACCATTACTATTAACAAATGAAGCTTCAAAACTAGCATCTTTGATTGCAGTAATAATATCATGTTTGATAATCATGTTTCAATCATACTCAACTTTACTTAATGAAGCCATCATTGCTCTTTTCAATTTCGTGAGACTCCTTAGAATACCTTCCACAAAATTCACGGATCTAGATTCTCTCCAGTTCACGCGGGAACTGGACGTCCAGTCGTTTTTTCGCTTAAGCGAAAATAGGTTATTTTCGCTTAAAATCATGATAAAATGGCTTAAGCCAATTTTCATAAAACAAATGGCTTAAGCGAAAAAAATGGCTTAACGAAAATAATAGGCTTAAGCGAAAAACGGACAAAGAGTTTTAATTTTCACTCAATTTTCTCTTCTCCTTTCCCCTAAACATAACATTTTCTCCTCAACAATATTCCAATACTCTACCGGTTATTACTTGCAATAGAACCAGTATACTTGCCGTGTTTGAAGGAAAATAAACCAACACTCTTATACTTAACTCTTCTCTTTCCCTCCTAACTCTCTTCAACCTCATACCTAACTCCTCTCCTCCTCTTCTCATTCTCACATCACCAAATACCTATCTCTCCTTTTTTTCTCTATACTCAACTCTTCAATTTCCTCTTCTTCCACCGTCATTACTATATCACCCGCTCTCCTTGTCTACATCCATTCTTAATCCTCTATTTTCTCTACAATCAACTCTTCACTTTCTTATTCCTCCACTGCCAAATTTTTTTAATGCAAAATTAGTTTAAGCTAATTTTTCTGGCTTAAGCGAATTGTGTATTCGCTTACGTAAATTATTTTATCTTAAGTGAATTTTGTGTGTTTGAAGATATGAAGGCTGAGTGTAGAAAAAAAAGAGGATTAAGAATGGATGTAGATAAGGAGAGCGGATGATATAGTAGTGACGGTGGAAGAAGAGGAAATTGAAGAGTTGAGTATAGAGAAAAAAGTGAGAGATAGGTATTTGGTGATGTGAGAATGAGAAGAGGAGGAGAGGAGTTAGGTACGAGGTTGAAGGAAAAGAGAGTTAAGAAGGAAAGAGAAGAATTAAGTATAAGAGTGTTGATTTATTTTCCTTCAAATACGGCAAGTATACTGGTTCTGTTGCAAGTAATAACTGATAGAGTATCGAAATATTGTTGAGGAAAAAATGTTATGTTTAGGGGAAAGGAGAAGAGAAAATTGAGTGAAAATTAAAACTTTTTGTCCATTTTTCGCTTAAGCTATTTTTTTTTCCGCTTAAGCTATTTATTTTATGAAAATTAGCTTAAGCCATTTTATCATGATTTTAAGTAAAAATAACTCATTTTCACTTAAGCGAATTAAGCAAAAAAATAACTGGACGTCCGGTTCTCGCGTGAACTTCCCGCGTGAACTAGAGAGAATCGAATCCCAAAATTCACACATGTTGCACACGTCATGCTCCCAATCGTGAACTGTCTCACCACAACAGCACCACTGTGCACTTTTTGATATGGGAATTTCAACACAATAATACAAATATAATAGGAGAGTAATAAGCAGCGAAAAATATCCTTCTAAACTTACAAGAATCAACGAGGAGCACCTACAAACATACAAGAAAAGTAAGACTACAAAATAGCACAAAAGACACACAAATATTAATGTAAAAAATCATTCAAAGTAAGAGTAGAAAATTACAAGTCAAGTCGTCTAAACCAAAAAAATAATTCACTTGATCAACAAAAGGTATGAAAAAGTTTCTAATGAGTGCACAAACTGTCAAAAGCAAATAAAGTACTACAAACAAGAGATAAGATGGTGAAAAAACTCCTATTGCAAAGCACGAAAGCCGTAGTATATGTTTCTCCCTCTCTCAGCCTTTTTTTAATGATCCAACCAAAACAATGAAGATTCACGTGTGACTCGTGAGACTTTTTCTTGATGATTTAGCAAAAAACAATGAAGATTCAGTGTGATGAATCTATTGTCAAAAAAATCAGTTCGATTCAACAGTAAATGAGTAATACTAAATTTTCTTTCTCTCTTCTATCTCAATTATTTTTTTTTTATAACAATCCTATTTTTATTTTTTTTTAATCATCCTGTGTTTAGTCTCTCCACTAGTTTTAATAAGCCACAATTAGCTAACTTATTTTGGGTCTTTCTCTGTATAGAAAAGGAATCCAAAAAATCCAACATTTTGTTCCCATGGAAACATGTTCCGCTAAGATCTCATCTTTGAAACTTGCAACTTAAATTGCATCCTTAATGTCTCTGTCCTAAGGTTAACATATTTTGAAATAGCAGCTAACACTTTTGCAAATCAAAGCGTCCAACACAAAAACAAAAATCAACCTTCATGAGGTTGACTTGAAAACGACATCAACTTTGTTTTTGAGCAACACAATGGAGGTGTCAACAACGTCATTAATAGACTTGAGAGTCACATCGACGAAGTTAGAGCAAGCAGTGCAGGTCATGCCGGTGATTCTAACCTAAATCCATTTTGTTTTGCCGTCAGCAACAATGTCATTTTTGTGGTAGGAGTCAAGTCTTGGCATCTTGGCCCAACCTCTCGCAAAACTGCTAAAGAGAAAATAGAGAAGGGTCAAAAGAGCGTGGTGATTATTGGTAGCAATGGAGAAGGAAGAAAAAGAGGAGTCCATCCAAAGAAAAGGTGGAAGAAGAAGTTTGTTGTTAACGGCAGAGTCCAGCGGAGAGAAGGGGTACCATAGATAATAGTGATTTCTGGCCAAAAGAAGAAAAAAAAAACTATATAATTACAATTTAAAATTACAGGACAATTTAATGAAAAGATAAAATTTACTTAATTAAAAAAATAAAATTACTAAAATTACACAATTTAACATTAGAGGACTAAAATCAATCTAATACGGGACAAAAATTGTAATTGAACCTTTTTTTAACCTACAATGGCAGGTATCATGGACATCGTGCACTTGAGGTCAATCAATCTCAACTATTCACGACCCAATTTCAATCCAAATGCTTCTCTTGTGTCTTAACAAAATCGATTTTGTTAAATTTCAGTCAGTTATCAAACATAAGGTATCACGAACGAAGCGTACAACAATTTAAAACTTAAATTGGTTCAATATGTGAAGTGGTCAGTTTTTGAGAAAGCTCTTATAATCCAATAATAATTAATAAAATTTCAGCACTATTAGCAAATACACTTATTAACAAAATTAAAAATAACTGTTTTAAAAATTTGAAAATATAAGAATATACTAAAACTCATTCATTATTTAGTATTTTGAATATTGCTAACGAAAATATGGCATCACTCAAAACATAGGTAAAGAAAGGTGAACAACACATAGTTTTCAAGGCAGCAAGGTTCTAGCGATAAGTTAAATCCCAAATTCCGATAATAGAGCACACTACTTTTAAAGCGTGTCCATTGCCTCTCCCAAACTTGTCCAGTGTCCACTGTAATGCTGTAGTGTACATGCTTTATCCTTACCACGTAGCAATTATTTCTATTTCTAAATATATGTAGCATGCAACTAAGATTAGATGCCTGTAAGATATTTAATACCCTGAATTCATGGTCTCACCGCAGCTCAGTCCAGAGCACAATGCACATGCACTACATAAATTGCATCAGTCCTACTCTCAGATTTCTAGCTAGTTCCTTCACGCTCATGTTGAATTCATCCTCCATCTGCCACCAATTGAAACAAACCAAATTACGTTCGCTAATGCCAAGTATCCACATTAACGTTTATCTAATAATAATAATTTAATTTTAAAGCAAGTTGAGTATGCAAATTTTTATATTATTAATCAATTAAAACATGCAGTAAACATGACTCTTAGATTAGAGTCATTATCACTAAAATTTCAAAACAAATATGATTACATGACAGTTTCAAAATCTGCTAGTGTATTTTAATTTAAATATTTTGTTAACTTTGAACTTAAATATCGAGAATAAGCAGATAATAATAATAAAATATTATTTAAAAAATATTTATTATATTTTTATAATTTTAATATAATTATTATATATTTTTTAATAATTTTTTTTTATTTATAATGCTTTAAGAGTTAAAATTAACAAATCTTTTCATTTAATTCTAACAACAGTGTACCTCGGCTACGATGGTCATGTCGAGAACAGAGGAACCGAAAGAAAAGGCACTGCTACTGGTGACTGAGAGATGAAGCTTCTCTATCTCTCTAAATATGTTAACAACCGCTGTCTTTTCTTTTTCGCAGTGGATTCGAATCAGCACGTTCTTCTTTGACACCCTTGCTTCAACCTCTGGCAGTGGCAGATTTGTCTTTGAGGGATCATCGGAGTTTCCGAATCCGCAGGAATTTGACGAGGTGTCCGAGACATCTTCGTCCGTAGTAACGACCTGAGATTTCTTCACAAACACCACCAATTCCTCGCTTTTCCTTTTGCTCTGCTTCTCCTCAAGCACTTTCACTTGCTCCTTTAGCTGTTTCACATACTTAATAGCGTCTCCCAACACAGAAGCTTTGTCCATCTGCAAAGAAACAAATTAGCATTCCTTCGTACCATATATACAAAATAAAATTTAGTTCCTTTAACGTGAAAAAAATTGTGTAAAATAAAAAGTTGAAATTTTATCTACTATTAATTTAAATTAAAATTTTTAATAAACAAAAATAACTTCAAATCAATGACAAATATTTTCACACTAGAGGAAGTAAATCCATACCAATATATATGTATATATCTAAATGTTTTGGTGACATAAACGTGTTTCAACAAAAAAAGATCGGGGTACATAAAAAAATGGGTACAATAGGTGGATGGATGAGAAAGTTATAAAAAAAAAAAAAACCTTTTTGAGGTCTGGAATAAGGGCTGAAAGGGCTATGAACTGCTGGCTAATTTTTTCTCTCCTCATTCTCTCTGCAATGATGTGATCTTGTGCGGGATAATGAGATCTAAGCCCTGACCCCTTCTTCTTGGTCTCCTGAGTAACGCGTCTTGGTTCATTCTTTGAAGTCAAAGCCATCCCATGATTCACAACCTTGGTTCCATTCTTGGAGCGTGATTCAACCTTCAGCGGTGGTGGATTCGTGTTGTCAAATGAAAGAATGAAGGAGCAGGGAGAAGAAGGTGTCTTTCGTGACTTGGAAGGCCTCTCTAACCCACTCTCATCTGCTGAAGAATTGCTCATGGTGGCATAAGAGCCGTGACTCTCCGTGGAGAGTGAGTTTTGCTTGTTCTCCTCATGTAGCCTATCTTGATGAGATGCTAAGTTTCCATCATCCAGGTTTGTGTCTGATTGATTGATGAAACTGTAATCATCTGGTTCCTGTATCAACAATGTTGGAAAAGTTGAGCATGAAATTAAAGAAATATATATCTTGAGTTGAAAATATCTGACATGATTTTACCATATCACATAACCAACTAGTCCATGATTCCTCCATTGATGTCATGCTATTGCAAAGTTTATCAGTTACTTTCAAGCAAGATGAGAATATCAATGATCCTGAAAAAATGAAAAAGTATTGGTCATTTAATTTGATATGAACAGCAACGTATTCAGTCATTCATATACACGTTTATTCCTTCTGAAAAATAAGATCAAGTACCACTTTTAGCAAAGGCTGAAAATGGTTCAATCCGATGCAGTGAAAAAACACAAGTTGGCTCGTTTATCTATATAGAGAGTAGCACCCTCCCCGGCCCAATAAACACGCCTACGCAGATTCTTCAACTTGTAGCCATACTTTACTACGTGCCCAAAACTGCTGGATACACATGTTAATTTATATGTCAGCTTGAATTTGTTGACACCTTAAACTACATTGAGTAAATTAGAGGGAATAATGCTACACATACATAGTCGTATAGTTATCAATACTGAGATTTAACAAAAGGAATATTTACTGTATGGGTGTTAGGTTTGGTTCTAATGTCTACTTCGATGATCTTTTTTATGGTTAATTTCTAATTTTATTAAAAAAAATTTACGTTTCCGTCTGGGGTGGTTGTGAATATTCAGTTTTTAATTTTATTAAAAACATTATTCTCTTAATGTTATCATTATCAAGGCATCAATAATGACATTATGATTACTGGTGTTAATATAATTGTTGTGCCACCAGCACACTTGCTATTACAATTACTAGTAGTCATCTCACCATCAAATAAACTTAAATTTAGAAGTATGAAGTAATTTAATTTTAATATTCAAAATAAAAATTTAAAAACTAAAAAGTACAAGAACTTGAAATTAAAAATTATAAAACTTAAAATTGATAACCATAAAAAAAAAACTTAATAATGTATTTTAAAAGATGCCAAAGAGATATATATAATAGATATAAAATATATGAAAGATATAAGACATGTCTCTTGAAGACATGAATATTTGCATTGTGGTGTAGTTTGAGGTATGAGAGTGAGGGAGTTTTTCATTACATTGTATTCTTAAAACGTTGTTCAATTGATAATATGTTCAAACTTGTGTTCTCAAAATTCACATCAAATGATATATATTCTTGGTATATAATTTTAATTGCGCAAAAGTTGTCATAGAAGAAGGATTAAAAATTTATGATCCTCTGAAGAGATTTCCATCGTCATGGATTGGTTTATGTAAAAAGCTTAGTAACTTTATTTGTCAAAAAAAAAAAAAACACAGTGTAAACGTTTTGTAACTTTATTCATATAAAAAGTACATATAAATTATTCTTAATTATTATATCTGTGTGTTACAAGAAAGTCCAATCCAAAAAGTACTCGTAGCATTGTGATTCTTTTAAGAGACTTAGAACCACATTATTCTAACTTCTTTTTTTTTTTTTTTACTTCACTCACCTGTCAATTAAACTTTTTCTTAGCCCAACTCATTAATCTTTATAAAAGTACTAATTGATATGACTTGAGCACACAAAGATAGTCTAATCCAAAAGACTACTCTATAAACGAAAGAATTTCAAAGCTTAAAAATACCAGCTAGAGCATTTTATTCTCCTCAACGGACAATAATGTGATTTATTTGTAATATACTTTTCTTAATTTTAATAGCATATAGAATGCCCGTGTAAAAGAGATATGATACACTTATATGATCCTCCCAACAATGAACCATAATAGTTATGGGAGATGTTACTCACGACATAGTCAAAGAGAATAAACCCAAGGAAAGTGATTCACACGCAAAATGTCTCAGATATCACATTATAAGGGAAATGATGCTAGTGAATAGAAGATATCATATTTATTTAAAAAATGTCACGTCCGGTGAATTTTTATTTTAAGAAAAAAATCATTTCTTTTTAAATAATTTTAAAATTTTGATAAAAATAAGTATTAAAAAAATAAACTGAAATGGATACATACAAAGATGAGAAAAATATTTTAATTAATAAAACAATATTCAATTATTTTTTAAAAATATTATGCTTAAATATTGGTTGAAAATTTAATTCTTATTTTAATATATCATTTTTAAAAATAATTCCCAAATTTAATATTTGAAAAAAATTAAAATAATAAATAACTAAAAAAATTTACTACTGCACTAGATGATTTTTATTTTAAGGCAGATAATTTATCGGAAAGAGGTCATGATCTGCTGCTATATACATAATATAACACGGCTCGAATCTTAACGTAACTTTACAGAGTTTATGTTTTAAAAAAGTAAAATTCATGTTTACGAGGTTACAGATAGGGAGTCACTTATGCTGACTTAAACATATATATTCTACAACTTGAGTATTTTATGTTTAATTGTTCATGATGATCAGTGTTTACTTCTTCTATTTTGGGTATTTTAATACATTATTTAGGTTTTTCCTTAGTCGTAGGAGTGGGAACAATCAGAACCGGTACTTAAGCTTAATCAATTATTCCTCCATTTCAAATTGATTAATATTAAAATATGAAGATTATGATTTATAATAATATAGAAAGGTAATTACATATTCTAATGTTCTATAATCTATACCGGTGTTCCCTTGAACTCAAAGAAAGGAAGATCGACAGAAGAACAAGTAATTAAATGATGTTTATATCTGATCAGATTCAAGAAATTTTATATTTCATATTGAGTCGCTTCATAAATCATTTGTGAAGTTCAATATTAATATTAATGCAAAATTACATGTCGGCATCTTTCTAAAGTTGATTCCCAACTCCCAAGCCCGTAAATGATACGGTATGCACCCTGTCGTATCCCACGGGCCTTGTGTCGATACTGCTGGAACCACAATTCCGGCTATATGCTCTCTTCCACACAAATTCAATTTATTTTCTTTTTCTTTTTTAACAAGATATAGGTATTTTTATTCAGATAAAACTTTTATGAATCACATTTTTAATCCTTTTTCTCTAAACATTTTTTTAATATTTAACATAACTATATATTTCATACTTTTAATTTTAGAGCAAGATCTATGCAATTTTTAACATTACATTGCAAGTTATAGTGAGAGATCCAGATCTCCATTATATATGATTTTGTCATTAAAACTCTAAATTGCCCCCCTTTTTTTACTAATTTGAATGCAAAGTTCTATCTTGTGCATGCCTCTAAGAAAGCAGAAACATATATAGGGGAAAGATACAAGTCAAGTGTTTTACTAAAAAAAATTATATTTAAATTTTAACACGCCTCCTGAATTTAAGTGTCCCTATTGCTTGAATCATACTGTCTTTCACGATTTCCATGCTTCATGTTGTACAAATACGTGTTTTCTCATCCACCTAATAGGTAATTTTGTTCCGGATTTGTAAAGTTGTTCAAGAGTTCGATGCATCGTTTTTCATTATTATATTTAATATAATACTTAAGCAAGTATGTGCTTTGTCATGTTTAGGTTTGGCTATAGTTAAATAAGGAACTAATTAAATAATATACTCAAGTAGAATTTTAACATAGATAATTTCTCCTAAAAAATATATATATTAACAATTATTCATTAAGCATGTTTTTTTACTATCTATTAATAATATTAATATATATTAATGAAGGTTGATCGAGTGATAGGTGACTTAGTATCATTTAAGTAAGATTTTGAGTTTAAATTTTTGTATATGTAAAAAAATCTCTAATAGTAAACTCACTTACTATATTTTTGTATGTAACTTAGATTAAATTCGAATTAAACTGGCTAGGTAAAAAAAAATATTAATATATAATTTATAAATATAAAGTTAATTAATCAATACACCATAACTTTAATACAATACATTACAATATTAGCGTAACTCTACAATATATGTATCATTAATTTAGACGAAACATATATTGCTGGGATAAGCTAAATAATTATTCCTTCTAATTTTAATGCTTTATCAATTTTATTATATTCATTTTTCATTTTCTTTTTTTAAATAATATAATAAATGAGCGGTATAATAAAGAATTAAACTAAAATTAATTAAAATATTAATATCATTTCTTAATTCTTGTCTAAAATTTTAAATGTTAAGAAAATGGAGGGAGTGATTGTTAGTTAGGGTATGGGTTTTTTCTAGTGTATTTTGCTCTAATTTACATGATAAACTCTATAGATTAAAATTGTGAAGGGTTTCAATGTAAACTATCTAGAAGCGTTGCGTCACTTCACACGTTTAAATTCTTTTCTTTTTTTAAATCAGCGAAGCTTTTAAAAAATATCATTGTGAATCCCATAGTTTTGAGATGAACAAAATGGTTTGACCCCCGGAAAAACTCAACTAGATAAAAAAAATGTAAAACTTGACGTGAATCCCATCTAATAGCAAAGAAAATACGATAGTATTCGAGTTTCTATCAATTAAATTCTCTTTAACCAACCAAAATTCCATGAATTGAACCTTAAAACAAATCGTGTATATTTCCATTAAAATTAAGAAATGTGTTTGAGTTATTTAAGTGTTTCCATATTTTTTGAGCGGCAAACATGCAAAATATTTCAACACTCAAAAAAATATTCTAGATTGTGGTATTGACGAAGAACAAGGTAATGGTTGAAACGTGTTGTAAATGTCACGTGAGACCATGTGACTTGTACGACGTTTACGACTCATGAAGATTTTGACGGATTATAATAGGATATAAGACAAAAAATAAAGTTTGGAATAAGATCACGATCTTATATATAGATTATGGTTTTACTAAAATATATATGTATTTTAAATATTCATTTTTCATATTTAATAGTTTAAAGTCAATTATTAAAATTAATTTTACTTTACTTAATTTACAGTAAAGATAAATTTATTATATTTTGTTAGTTAAACAAATAGAAAAAAAATGATATATCTTGCCATTAGGATTCGTCGCAACGGTCAGTCACACCAACTTATTTACTAAAGTATCCATTACATAACTCCGAATGCAAGTGGCAATATATTAGATACCATGACCAAATTGTTAACATTTTTAACTTTAGAAAATTTCTACACCTTTAAAAAATTAATAGACTTGAACTAAAATCAAATATTATACCCAATAACGTTGGTATCGAAATTCGAGCTATGTAGAGTGGGAGCAATGCTACTTGGTTCCAAAGAGACATGAGAAGTGTGAGCACAAAGTTTTAAATTATATTACTTCATAACGAGGTGGGGGGATGCATGTAACTTATCATGGGGAAAGGATATATGCCATTTGATCAATAACCTAAAAAATAAATAGTAATAATAAAATTATTACTTACCCTCACGCGTGTGCATTTCTTTTAGGCTATGTTTATATTTTATGTTTAAGAAAAGATATAAGGAAGAGAAAAAATTTAGTAGAGTTTACCTCTTATTTAAAAGTTAATTAATTAAGAAAGAAGGATTCAAAGTTTTTTCAAATCTCAAAATTCTCTCGTTTGATTTCTTGACTTCTTCGTTTCAAGAGTTTTTTCTTTTCTTTTCTTTTACTTTTTAACAATCAAGTTTCTTTTTTTTTTCAAAATTTATTAATTTGTAAAGTGAGAATCTTTTAAAAAATTATTAAGAATAAAAATATTAATTTTTAAAGAATAAAATATTATATTTTTTTATTTTTTAAAAATAATAATATATTTACATGATTAAATCCAACAAGCAAAGAGTTTCACCCTTTTTCTCTTTATTTTCACTTCTTTTCTCTTCTCATTACACCTTCAAACTCTTTTGTCTTCTCCTTCATACATCTAAATAAAGTCTTATAATATCTTTGACTTTTTCTTTTTCCAATGCATTTGTTGTAAGTTGTGAATTGCAATTATTATGTTTACTTATTAATTTCTTATTACCCTTTTATACGTATGTGTGATCTCATTAACTAATATTTTATTAAAAATTACATTAATATATATATATATATATATATTAACAATACTTTTTATTATTTAATTAGTAATTTTAAAATATTAATTAATATACATCATGTGAAAATAAATAGATAATTTCAATTATGAAAAGATTAATTTTTGTTTATATAAAATCATTACTATCTTTCTTTCTTCTTCTTCTTTTTTTTTTTTGCTAATAGTAATGCTATAAATCTTTTGCTGAAGAACATATAACTAGATCCTACTTATTAATGTACCCAAAAAATCGAAGTTGAGGCCCAGTATAGTAGGTCAAATAAATACTAGCGGGCCAATATTATAAGCAATCTGCAAGGATATCCGGCAATATAAAAAAAGAGAGGAGAGATTGCATCCTTCAAACAATCAAAAGAACATAATTAAGAGATCTAATGAAAAATTTGTACGTCAGAAAGCAGCAAGATGTCATCACTATTTCAACTTCTATTCTCTACTTAAGCTCGCGTTAAGCCGTGTCATATTGAAATTATTCCTAATATCTCCGCAAATTATTCAGTTTTTTTCTTCTGACAAGCAGGCACACATTGAAAGGCCTGAGAAATGGTTAACATTACAAGAGAAACACAAGATCACATATGATCAAGCTGCGTCCACATCTTGGGGAACACTGCAGGCAGGTGCAGCCATCACACATTAATAGCAAGGTCTCCGTTCTGGGAGGATTTTTAGTCGCTGGTGCATTAAATGTGATGCAATGTTTCAATCCATAACATTTTTCTTGAGGGCACCCCTAGACCTGCACCACGTTCATGTTATGACATTATTTTCAATGCCGCCACGCGTAGGTTCTTGACAAGCTCCTTTGTGGTCAACCTGTAATCATCGCCCATCTGCAAAAATAATAAGCGTTCAACTGTACTATTAAACTTAAGTCCCATCAAAAGGTAAAAACAATAAACTAAAATAATATTTATAACATAAAAAAACAAATTGATGATGTGACTTAGAAAGAAACAAAACTTATCAAAATACTGTTTATTAATTAATTATTAAGGTAGAACTGTCCTTTACCTGAGCAACTATTGTTATGTCAAGGATGGAATCACCAAAGGGTAAGACACTGCTATTCACAACCAATAGATGATAGGTTTGAATCTGTGCAAGGATTTTGACCAAAAGACCCTTCTGCTTCTGACAGTGGATCCGAAGCAGCATTTCTTGCCCTGACACTCTTACTTCCACTTGAAACAGTAATTCGCTGCCACCATCAGCATCAATGCTCTCATCACATGATGAAGAATCATCATCGCCACTGAGCTCTGGCTTGTTTACAACCACCACTGACTCTGCCCTTGTTTTCTTGCTCTGCTCTTCAAGCACCGCTAGACGCTCTTTGAGCTCCTTCACGTATTTGATAGCGTCCCCTAATACTGAAGCCTTGTCCATCTGTGTGGATTAACAGATTTTGCACATTAATTATTTTATAAAGTTAACAATAATGGATTTAAGAGTTAGCTAGCATAGTAATAGTAGCATGATATTTTATTTACCTTTTTTAGGCCAGGAACAAGAGCTGCAAGAGCAATGAAGCTTTGGCTGAGTTTCTCTCTTCGCTTTCTCTCGGCCATGATGTGATCCTGAGCGTGAGCAGGAGACCTCTTGCTATGTGAGGTTTTTGTTTCCAAGTTTTGATTTTTTGGAGACCCTTTTGGGTTTTGAGTTGGGAAACGCTGATTTCCCAATTGGGGTGTTGACACTGACACCATCTCGTTCTGTGGTGGGTTTAAGGTACAGTCAAAGCCATAAAAGTGATTGGTCTCGGAAAGGGATGGTTTTGGGTTGTCAAAAGAAAGAATCTGAGACTGAAAGGAGGAGAAGGAGGATGATGGAGAAAGATTTGTGATGGTGGATGAGTTAGAACTTGTGCTGATTGTTTTCAGCATCTTGGAGGGTCTCTCAAAGTCAAAACTTGTTTCATCAGTGGATGAGTTGTTACTAAGAGTTTTGGAAGTGCACTCAGAAGATAAAGATTGATGTAGGGTCTGATCCGGCAGAGCAGTAGCAATGTCATGGGAAAGGAACTCTTCTTCATCAACGTCAAGAAAATTCAATGGACATTCCTCAGGAAATAAATTGTAATCATCCATATCCTACATATATTTTAACAAAATAAAAAACCATTACGTTAAAAAAATTATAAAAATATAATAACTTAAAAATGGTACCTTATTCTTAGGAGATTTGTATATAAAAATAATTAATTTTTATTCAAAAATTGTCAATGACCTGTGAAGATAGGAAGAGTGAACATGAATTGCTTACCAAATCAGATAACCAGCTGGTTGCTGATGCATCCATTGGTGTGTTTAAGTCCTCCATTGTAACTAGGGATCAATGAGTGCAAATTAACTGTAAAACTTATATAATGTGCTTTAGCTCATTCAAACAATGAAAAATGAGACTTGGCTCTTTCGCTATTCAGAGCTATGCAATGTTGTATGTTTCTTTCTAGTGCAGAACAGGAGTCCCCGTGTTCAGTCTTTATAGCCTAGTTCTCGAGTTCTTCAATTCCGTCACTGCCCCTAGCCACGGACCCACAGGCCATAAACAACGTTTTAATTATTAAGAAATAAAAGCACGTGAGGACTGAAGAAAATCTCCGAGGTCTTCTTAAGAATGGGGGCAGCGATTTGTTATGCGTTGGATGGCAACTGCAGAGATTAATTATACCATTCAAAATTGGTAAGGTTGATATATATAATATGACTAACGAGAGAGTCGAGAAAATATAGTATTGGATGCGACACCCTGGAGCTGGGATTAGGAATATGAATCATGTGATATTAACATAATAATCTCAATAATTGAGTCAAGTAGTCAGCCAAGCCCCGACTAATTAGATTCTGATTTTTTATTTTTTTTTCATATTCAACTTTTCACGGTGGACTTTCTAAGTTCTAACTACCGTGGTATCTCATCAGGACTGTAAATAAACTTCAACTATTCATCCACGACTAAGTTTAAGTTTAAATTATGTCTAATTATTTACATTAGTTAACTTTACATTTTATGAGTTTAACGTTAATAACTTATCGATATATATTTTTAGATTTTTTATTTTATTTTAATTTTTATTAATTATATTTTAAATAAGTGACAATAATTCTTTTATAAAAATATATTATTTTTATGATAAAAATGTTTAACTACGTAAATAAATTATATTTCATAATGTTTTTATTTTATCATTTAACATAAAAATATTCATTTAAGAAAATTATAAACAAACTAATAACTCAAATTCAAACTTTAAAATTATTAATTAAGTCAAGCTTAAACATTTCTATTTTTTTTAACAAATCAAGTTTGAATTTTAAATATTCAATTTAATTTATACTCTTACATGCAATATTATACGAACGTGTATCGGTGGTGATTCATTTCAAGAATAAATCTAGCAAATCGTATTTTTAATAATAAGCTTATATAAATTTTAAATTTTATAAATTTAATTATTAATATAATATTATTAAATATATTAAATTAAACAATTTTATACATTTTAGAATCAATTAATATTTTGATATAAAATATTGTTTAAAATAAATATTTATTAAAAAAATTATATATCTACGTTTGACTATCATCACCGTCCATCATTATCTTGGAAAATAAATAAATACAACATTTACGTACGCATAATACTGATGAATATGCTAATAATTACAAAATAGCTCTTATAAATTGACAACTACCTTAGTTTAATACCACTTAATACTCATGGTTCACCAGGTAGTATCATGACAACATGATTTATTTTTTGAGGGGGGGACCGCGACCTGAAAGATGTGTGTGACATTTAAATTATAATAACGCTCCATCACTTTCTATTTAATATGGTAAAATATTTTATTTAAATAATTAAAATTTTATTATATATAATTATTTGTTTATATACATACCTAAAAATACATTTAAAGAAATAAAAAATAATTAACTATAAGACCAACTTTAATACAAGTTGCATAACAGTACTTTCTTTTCTTGCGCAAATTTAATATTGAGTTGCATTACTTGGTACAATATTAAAAGCAACTGTCTCTTACAAAGGGGTGGTTTTTAATCTAATAAATGGGTCGCACAGTGCAAGAGAGATGACAATCCAACGTTGACTATAAATTTATAACTATTTTTCATTTTTAATTAATAAAAAGTCGTTTTTATTATTATCAAAATTTAAATTTTGCAAATAAAATATTTTATAAAAAACATAAATAAATTTATTAGGTATTTTTATTATTATAAAAGTGAGAAAAAATTTATATTTTTATGCATTTTTTATTTGAAATTAAAATAAAATAAATTATAATATAAAAAAGTTATTATTGGGTGATCATTTATAAGACCCAATTAATATATTTTATATAATCACACGGTTAAATGAAGTGGTTGGTTAAAGATATTGTTATGACTCCCACAAAAAATTATAAGTCAATAACAAAATAAAAATATTAATGAAATAGAATAGTATTTAATAAAATAAACTCTTTTAAATTTTGAATACAGTTGATTCTCTTGAATTTAGGGATTGCAAGTAATTATTTTAAATATTATTTTATTAAAGACAAATTCAGAGTACAATGGTTATTCTAACCCATTACAACATTAAAGGAAATTAATAATATATGTTAAGCGCAATCATTAGTCCAATTCACATATACAATGAATCTTCTCAAAAGTTCTACAATAAATCACTTTCAAGAACCATACTTAATAAAATCAAACATTTCACTAGCATTTAACGCATCATTATTGGAAAGAATATTATTCTGCTGAAATCAAATTATTTATACTATTGCAAACCACACCATTACACCTTCTCCCATTTCTTTTTTCCATGTTGGATTCCATACATGCTTGGTAATGCCTCATGTAAATTTCCAAGTAAGCATAAACAAACACAAAATCGTTCAAACACTATATATCAGTCTCATAGAAATATCGCAATGCAAAAAAAGATACAGTATATCCTCAACTTCGGTATCACACAACCCACAAGTTTCCAAGAGAATTATTAATCCACATTTGGTCAAATTTCTTCGCACTAGGATTGCATTAAGCAGCAGAAACCAAACAAATACTACTACCTTATTTGGTACACTGACTTCCAAAATTTGCGTAAGGCTTGCACTAGATACAATTGCAAACTACTATCCGTAGTGAAAAAATGATGAATGTAGTGATAAACGGATTGCAGACTATATTTATTATTACCATCAAACTTCCATATTAATATGTCATTCACATTTTCTCTCGACCTCTTATCTTCCATAGTATCTTATAACTGCTATTGTAAATCTTTCTCTCATGAAAACAATTATCTTCTCCAAGAATTTTCTCACACCCATTGACTTATCTCAAATCTTCTATTATCAACCACGCGCTTTCTTATTAGTTATAGTTAAAAATAGTTTTGGATATAAATTTGTCAACGCAATATTTCTCGTCTATTTATCCTTCTAAAAACTAAAAGAACAATTATCGTTAAGTACTCATGTGACATTAGAATTTATCCACCGATCGACTTGCTTACAAACCCACAATAATGCAGTGGAAGACTATTTAGAATAATATTAAGAAGTGTTACTCTACCCCCAACATAGGTATTTGTGCTTCCAATATGCTAGCTTATGATTAAGCACCTCAATAAACTTTTGCTAAATACTTTTTTCTCGATTTATCCCCCAACATAGTACCTAAATACCAAACAGGCAAAGATCTCACTTTGCAATTTAAAAATTAAGATGTTGTGTCTAGAAAATCACATGTCATATTCAACTCCCCACAATATAACTCTAATGAAAATTAATTTTAAGCCTAAATATAAAGTCAAAGCTTCGTAGAATAGCCTTTGTCGTCCACAAATTTTTTTCAGTAGCTTTATCTATAATTAAAGTATTATTTGCAAATTGTAATAATCAAATTTATGGTTCATCACTAACTTTGATTCCAAAAAACAAAACTCTTTGAGACGACACTTTTCATCAATCCCCTCAAACTTTTCAATATTAGAAATAAAAAAAGAAGATAAAGAAACGTCTTATTTAAAGCTTATAGTTCATATAATTTTATATAAAAAAAATCTCATCAAAAATAATTTTACTTTCTAAAAAGGTAAAATTAGAGTAAGATCATTTCATTTCTTCTTTAAAATGTTTGTAACAAAGTAATTACTATTCACCCTCTAAATATAATATTTATTTTGATTATCTTGTTTGATCTCTAAATTCTAATAATTTTTTTTATATTATACAATAGTACTAGAATAAAAATCTTATAAACCATTTTGTTTTATTTATTATTCAAACCATAGAATAAAATTTTCACTCCACCCCCATTTCCTTTAAATTCATTCCATTTTATCATCTTCTATCAATTCAATCAAAGATAACTCTAAAAGTTGTCCTTATAACATTTTCAATTATGGTTTCATTAAAAGTGTCTTTTTTCGCTTTTGTCCTCTTTGTTTGGACTAAATGCCCTGTCTGCCACTTAAATTTTAAAAACAAACTAATTTTGCACCTATAAATTTATTCTGCTAACAATTAGAATGTTTTCGCAATAGATTATTTTCTTAATTATATAAAAATCATTAAGATATTAGTCAATCCTGTTTGAGTGGATCGGATATATAAATTTATCCTTGGTGGAACATTGATCTTTGCGTGATCGAAGAGCAATGATCATGTATCTTCTTCACACGTTAATGAAAAAAATATGCATATATAGAGCATGATTATATTTCAATTTTGTCTATGAATATCCTAAATGGAAATGTTTAAGCACTACATATGAATTCAAATAACCTGATAAACTATTTGAACTAAGAGTTCGAGAATACCATAACAATTAAATAATTTAATTTAAAATAACATTTTTGAGCTTGTTATTCAATCAATAATAAAAAAAAAAAGACGAACTAATAAATAATTTGAATAATATGTAACCTGCATATTACCGATTAATAATTTAATAACTCAAATTCTACCTTTTCTTTTATTGTCCAGAACCCATTAAATATAGTTAATCAGCTACCAATCAGAGCCGGGCAAATATTTTGATCCTTTTAGTTGGTCAAATATAACATAAAATAAATTATATATTCTATGTATCTCCTAAATTAAATATGTTTAGATAAATGTTCTAATTTAAATAAAATAGAAGTTGATTACAATTAATTTTAATGTAAAAAAAAAGTTTATTTTACTGAACTTATATTCTAACTTGACTGCACCTTCCTATTATTTTTGTGTATGCCTTCGGCCACGAGAAAAATTGATTATAATTAAATTTAATTTGCGTGAAATCGATTATAATTAAAATTAACATTTATTAATAACAATTGATTATTTCAAGAATCAACTTTCAAAAGTAAATGTTTATTTTTGTTCACTTATTATATATTTCTATTCTTTCCACACTAGATCCATTTTCTTTGACAAACGACACTGTTATGCTTGCACCATTTCATTCATTTCATTGTAGATTTGTAGTACATGTAAAAAAGATATCTGGTTTAACAATTAGGCTTATTCAATTTTCCTTAGTCATTATGTTATTTGTCATGAAATATTTTTCAATGTGAAATTGTATAAATCATCACTTTATAATGGAGAGGTTAATATGTTACAAAGATGTAAATATGATCACATTTTAAAAGATAACATAGATATCATAGTAGACATCTTTGGATAAAATCCAATTCTAATATTTAGGAATTACACATGACAACCAACTTTATCTTTGTGACTGTGTTATATATTTTAGACTATGACTAAGTCGAGTATAATAATTATTATAGATATTAATTTTTTTATCTAAATATCTAACATAATTATATTTAGTAAGAATGGAAATTGATAATACAAATTTCTTTTTAATCTTAAAAGCACGTACCAGTAAAAATAATAAATGTAAGTTTTGATGAAGAGAGGATCAACTTGTGCTTTGGAAGAAATTTTTGTGACACACATTACGCATTGAATATTTTGAATGTATTCAGCCAAAAACTCTACTTATATCTGAGATAGATCATTCATACACATATACGTATAATCAGAATAAGTTTAACAATTAGTAACTAACTAACAAACTAACTTATCAGTTTCTAATAGCTATTGACCGCAAAAAATGAATGCTAACTAAAATGATTAATTTACAATTTTATAAAACGCATTGCACTTTATTTTATTTTATTTTTTTAACTTTTCCTTATTTTTTAACTTTTGGGTACAATCTCCCTCATTTAGCTATTCATAAATTTAATTTAAAAATTTAATTAGAAAATAAAAAAATTGGAAGGACTTTAAGTCCGTTAGTAGCTTCGTTGAGAAGTCTTAGACTTATAACCTAACAATCTTACTATATAATATGATTAAAGCTTTGTTAAATTTGAATATAATAAATTTTTATATTTGCACTAAAAGTGGGTTTTTTTCCTGTATAGGGTTTAAACCAAAACATTTTATCCGTATGGGGTTCTTTGACAAAAAATTCCCTGTCTAGGGTGATTTGTGAGTGTCGTCAAAACTGCTGGCGACACATGATCAAGTATCGGCTGAAAGAATGCCGACACAGGTGTCAGACCCGACTACTGAGAGCGGTTCAAAATGAACCGCTCTCATAAATCAATTTTAGAGAGCGGTTGTAACGGAACCGCTCTCTAAAACGACTTTTGAGAGCGGTTCGAATTGAACCGCTCTCAAAAGTCATGTTAGAGAGCGGTTCACACCAGTGTCGGGTTGTTCAGGACCGACACACACTCATTGGTCCAGGCCCTCCATCTTTGTTCTGTTATTCATCTTCTTCGGTGAAAAATTTTTGCAAACATACTGCAAACGCAGAGGTGGAGGTGGAGTGGAGAAGCAGGGCAGATGAATGCAAAAGTTTTAAAGCTTTGAAAGGTAAGAAAAAAACATGATAGTGTATATTAGATATAAATATAAAATATTTATTCTTGTTTCCGTTTTTGGTCCCAGGAATTGCAATCTGTGGTGGTCCAGGGTATTGTGAGAGGGACTTTCGGTGGTCCAGATTCTTAGCAAAAGGAGGTTAGTAAAAATTTATATTTATAGTGATTTTGTTATGCATGTAAAAAATAGGAAAATAGGAATATAGAAAAATAGAAAAATAAAAAAAATAGTTAAATTAAAATATATAATTTGCTTGTTACTTATGTAAAAAAGAATTAAATAAGAAATATAAAAGAATTAAATTGAATAAATATATGAGGAAAAATTATGTATGATTATTATTATAAGGTTAATAAAATATAAAATTATGAATAACAAAATAAAATTGAAATAATAAGAATGAAAAACATTAATTAATAAATTTATATTATAAGAATCTGTAGTTGTTAAATTTGTAATAATATTTTAACAAATATTATGTCACATAAATAAGAAATAGTAAATAAATTAAAATTGTGAAAGATTAAAATATAGTTATGCATCAAATAATTATAAATTAGATTAATTTAAAAAAATTAGAGTAAAATATAAGGAATTAAGTGAAATAAAGATGAATATATAAGCAATGTAAGTTAAATAAAATTGAAAATATTATTTTAAAATATAAATGACTGAAAATAAAAATATTAGATCAATATTAATTTAGACATTTGAATATTTTAAAAAGTTTGTAGTTATTTAAATGATTTTAATCAATAATAATAAATTACAATTTTATGCATGTAAAAAAACAAAAAAAGGGAAAGAGAAAAATAGGAAAATAATTAAATTAAAATTGATTTTTCGTTTTATTTATGTAGAAAACTGTATTTAAAAGTAAAAATGATGATGATATTATTATTGTTATACAAATATTATTATCTTAAAATAACAAAAAAATATAATTAGAAAAATATTATTTGAAGGTACAAATTGTTTAATACTAAAATGATATTGTTTTTATTAAATTTGGTTGCTTATATTATAAATTTGAAGTAAATAGTTTACTTGTTTATATAGATTTTAGATGGCATCATCTTCGTCTCGTAGTAGGGTATTAAATCCTGACCCCGAGGATGGTTCATTACTGCGCTATCAGTCTATTCATGTTTCAGAGCATATTTGGGATGGTCGTGAACACCCAATATTGAGAGTGAGAAGAGGTCATTTCATACATGCTGGCATGGAGGGAGTACCAGTAGAGATTATTCCTCATTTGACAGTAGCAGGATTTGCTGGAGTAGCACAGTTGGCTAGTATTCCTATTGACCGCCAATTGATTACAGCGTTGGTAGAAAGATGGAGGCTAGAGACCCATACATTTCACATGTCCCCTGGAGAGTGTGCTATTACTCTTCAAGACATTGCTATTCAGATGAGTCTTCGTATTGATGGAAGACCAGTTATTGCCCCTACAGGAGGTGACAGGGCACAAATTGTTGAAGATTTATTGGGAATTAGACCACCTAATTCTGCATTTATGGGGAGCAGCTTGAAATTTACTTGGTTGGATGAGCATTTTTCCCATGTTGGGTTCACAACCAAAATCCCATTCAGCTAACTCGCTTTGCAAGAGCATATATTTTGAGACTTATTGGTGGGTTTATGTTAGCTGATCATTCTAGTAGTAGGGTCCTAGTTAGGTACCTTCCTTTACTTGAGGATTTAGAGATAACTGGACAATATAGTTGGGGAAGTGCAGCATTAGCCTTCCTATACAGAGAGTTATGCATGTCCACGAATATTGATCGGTCTAGTATTGGAGGATTGACTCCACTTGTGATGCTGTGGGCGTGGGATAGGTTCCCATTTCTATCTCCGGGTGATCCCCCTTACACACAGAATGATCTTCCTTATGGTGCACGGTATGTCTATAATATTAAAACTTTCATTCAATATTTACACAACAGTATTTTATTACAAACAGTCATGCTAATATTTATGTTTTTATAGGTGGTTAAGATTTCAAAATTTTAGGAAGGAGAGAAAGGATCTAGCTTACTTTAGGTTCAAATTTGATCATTTGAAACGTGATCAGGTATGCGTTATTTGTTTATGATATATGTTATCATCAATTAATAATTATGAATAATTACAATAATATTTTGTACACTTGCAGTTTGTGTGGCAATCATATAGTATAGATTTGATGCATACTTTGCCTGCCATATGCACTGAGGGCATGCATATATGGAGAGCTATTGTGCCGCTTATTTGTTTCCAAATATGTAAATGGTACCAGCCCGATCGTACCATGCGTCAATTTGGGATGGTGCAACATATTCCTCATGCTCCTTATCAGCCAGACCAGCTACATGACATTACTCTCAGAGGGAAGACTGCTGACAATTGGGAGTCAAAGTTCAGGGGCGTACTAGAGCATTGAGACAGGAGATTAGATTGGGTTGTGAGTAATGAACCACAAATTGGTCTACTGAGTTCGAACTCTGAATACATGCGGTGGTACCATACTCATACTAGACGGTGGATGAGCAGAGATGCTGCAGTGTTTGCATTACTTGTACGTATAGATCGTTCTAGTAAACGATTTTGTTTGTTTAATAGAATCTAATCTGAATGTAATGGTTATGCAGGGAGATGCTCATGAGAGGGCCTATTACTTGTGTAATGATGGGAGGGACACATTTTCATTTGAGGAGATGAAGGATTTGTGTGAGACGATGTTAGCCTTGCAAAATGAGCAGGAACGTATCTTAGAGCTTCATCCTCATGTGATCCTCCTATCCAGAGTGGAAATCTAGATGAGCCTCAGATTGATATTGGTATTGGTGAACAACGTCGAGAAGGCAAAGGTTTGCAACGTCGGCGAACGTCATTTCAGGTATTGTTACCTTATGCTTCATTGGGTCATTTTACTTAAATTATAACATGTTTCATTTGAACATACTTATGTGTTTAAAATTGCAGGCCACAGATTTTACATTGCCCCCTTTGCCCGAACGAGGAGATGGTGTTTATTATGTCCCACCACCTTTTCCGTTTCAACAATCACAATGGACACAGTCATCTTATGTTCACTCATCACAGCAATCAAACGTCCCTCCTGCATCTCCATTTTTCAGCGGTGAATTTTATGTTCCTGACGCTAGCCTTTTCATGATACCTCCTCCATATGAGCCTATGTTTTTCACACCGAGTGCACCCGGTGTAGGCACTCATCAAAGTGGATGTAGTGAGCAAACAACATCATTGGTACCTGGGCATGACCGTGGAATTGATTTTAATGCTGAATTCATTGCAGCCTCAGATGCAGCAGGAGCTGATGTGAGACGTAACCCTTACCGTGGAGCGCGAGATCGTCGTCGACAGTGCAATCTCACACCTCATGAGGAGGGACCTCATGAGCAGTCATTGAATTCTGATTGAGACTATGTTATGATACTGTATTTGAAAACTTTATTTGTTTGTTTAATGAATGTTTGCTTTTGTTTAAATGCACGACTCATTTATAATTTGCCACATTCTACACATTCGACATCAAACAAGATTAATCAAACAACATACATTAATAAGACAACATACCACAATAAGACAACATACATTAATAAAATCTAGCACACTTTTTACAATCATACAAAACTAGTCATGATTAATGTTAGCATTGCTTTGTTGAGTACAATGACGTTGATTATGACCTGGTTGTCGACATAACCTACATCGTTGTCGCGGTTGTGACTCAACCCAATCCATTTCATTTCTAATTCTACAAGCCTTTGGTCTTCCTTTACCTCGTGCTCTATCTTGATCAGGCAACAACTTCCATTCATCATTTTGTAAAATGTTTGCTTCATTTCCAAGCGGCCACCACTGAGATGAGTATGCGTTCACAACATACTGCAGAGTATATACAGGATCAACATACTGCCAAAAGTCTATACTTACAGTAACACAAGCGGCTATGACATGTGAACAAGGGTATCGGTATGCCTGAAATTTGCCACATTCACATTCACGTGTAGATAATATCACACTCCACTTATGACCCCCCCTTTGTGTCATTGGATTAAAAGCCTCTTCAATCTCGAACCTTGTACTTTGTATGTCGTAACGACGAACCTGATGCGAAGATGCTTCTTCTTGATTTTTTTCTATAGCTTCAATTAATTTACGACAATACCTTTTGCCATTGTTCATGTCATTGATTGCGCTTTCACCCCGTTTGACAAAATATTCGACCAATCTACTATAGGTTGCTTTCACAAGGGCAGTAATTGGGAGATTTCTTTCCCCTTTTAAAACTTTATTCACTGACTCAGACAAATTAGTCGTCATGTGACCATAACGCTGCCCTTCATGATCATAAGCCAAGCTCCACTTTTCCTTTGATATGTTGTCAATCCATGTTTGAACTTCAGGAGAATGCGAACGAAATTTATTAAGACCAGCTTCAAATCTTTGCTTGCAAGGTGTATACGCTACATTTAAATAAGTTATACAGTTAATGGTGAAAAATAAATATATATTCATAGATAATGTAAAATGTAATAGTGATAACATACTTACCTAATTTCATAAGCATACTCTTCATTGCGGAATTTTTGAATCTTCTATTTAAATTGCTTGCAATGTGACGAATGCAATAAACATGGTAAGCATTAGGAGGTTGCTACCCAATATGTGGATTAGACACAACACTTTTAATACTTTGATGGCGATCAGATATTAAACAAATTTCAGTTTTATCAGTAACATTTAGACGGATCATGGCTAAGAACCATTCTCATGCTGATAATGTTTCTCCTTCAACAATGGCAAATGCTATAGGAAGCACACTGTTATTGCCATCTTGAGTTGTACCAATAAGCAATGTTTGCTTATACTTACCATACAAAAAGGTACCGTCTACCTGTATTATAGGCTTGCAAAACTTGAAGGCTTCACGACATTGCCTAAACGACCAAAATACTCGATGAAAGACTCTGAATCTATTATCCATTACATTACCTCTCACATAATCATTGGTCTCAATTTTGTAAACTGACCCTGGAGCATGTAATTGCATGTATTCTAACCATCTTGGTAATGTTGCATAAGATTCATCCCAATCACCAAATATTGTCACAATTGCTTTTTGCTTTGCTTTCCATGCTTTTTTGTATGAAACTGAATACCCAAATTGGCCACTTATTCTCTCTTGGATTAATGAAACGGGAACAGAAGGTTCTTCTTTGACCATACCTATCAATAAAATTAAACAATACATCTCAGCTAATGATCATATCCAAATCATTTTAAATACACAAATAAATATAATCTCAATTGAGTTTCACGTACCAATAATGCATGAACAAATAAAATTTGAATCTAACTTTTTGTGATCTTGAGAAATCATAGTATTAACGCAGGTATGCATACCACCCCATCTCGTAATTTTCCACTTATTTGAATTTTTGGGTAGCAATGCTCTTACTTTCCAAGGACACCCGGAAATATGATTCACACACTTGACAAAATGAGTTGATGCTTTTGACTCAACCACAAAAAATGTTTGATGTTTGTTCATTGCATAATGTTTTATTGCCATCTTTACCTCCTCTTTAGAGTCAAATAGTTGTCCAACATATAATGATCTCCTTGTACCCATGATTGTGACGAATGCAACTCTGAAAAATTCAATTCTTGATCAGGATGTTCCCAATTAATAGCAGTGTAGTGTGAACTTATGTTCCAAAAAGGTGTTAAAGAATCTGTATTAAACTCAAGAAATGTTAGTTAAAAATATTTAACAATTATTGTATTATATAAAATTGTACCTGCAGATTGTCCTTGCATAATGTTATTTCTTTCAGTGTTTGAAACTGTCATCATTGAATCGAAGCCATCTTCCAAATCAGTATCAGAAGAACTATCTAAAGGAATTTCTCCTTCATCTTCATAGTCATCATCGTACTCATCTTCGTCATCTGTAGATGCAGCAGCAAATACTTATTAATAAATTATAAAATTTTAAACATCATATAATTTAAATAAATATTATACATTACCTCCTCCAATTGCATACTCTTCTTCATTGTCACTAACAGACACAGTTGGGAGTGATACATTTAAACATAACAAACTTTCACCTACATGAGAAGTTTCACCAACCGCAATATCCACATATAACTCAACTACTCTTTCATGCCGTTCTTCACAAGCACTTATCATACAGTCAATGTCTTCATCATCACATACATCTAAAATTGTGTAATTTCCACTCCTTGAATCAACTAAAATTCGTGAAATTAGTCTAGAAATTACATTACTATTGCACAATTTCAATTTTGTATGTATTTTTTTTTTTCAACATCTCAAAAGTAATTCCACGTTCTATTTTAATCATTTTCTTATTCCCTTCAAATATGATACCCTCATTTCCTTCATACACTCTTCCATTCCAATATAAAATAACCACAATTTCAGTCATCCTATGTATCAAATTAAAAAATACAACCAAAATTATTTAAAAAGTTTACCTAAACAAATAGTAACAAAAATAATTACCACAACATTAAAATAATATATTTTTACATTTATATTTTTAATAATATTATATTAACATTAAATAAATTAAATTTATTACTACAAATATTTTTATTTTTATTTATTTATAATAATATTAAAATTATTAATTCAAATTTATTTACAATAATAAAAAAATTTAAAACAATAAATTAATAACTTTCTAACCTTTTTTTTCCAGCAGAACAGCTCACAATTGCGTCCCCTCTCCTCACAATTGCGGAATGCAGCAGCAGAATACTCGGCGTTAGCCTCAATATATTAGGAAGATAGTGTCGGCATTCTTTCAGCCGATACACAAGTGTCGCATAAATTTAACCGACACACATGACTTTTGAGAGTGGTTCGAATTGAACCGCTCTAAGAAGTGCATTTTAGAGAGCGGTTCGAATTGAACTGCTCTCAAAAGTCCATTTTAGAGAGCGGTTCAGTTCGAACCGCTCTCAAAAGTCCGTTTTAGAGAGCGGTTCCGTTACAACCGCTCTCTAAAATTAATTTATGAGAGCGGTTCATTTTGAACCGCTCTCAGTAGTCGGGTGTGACACCTGTGTCGGCATTCTTCCAGTCGATACTTGATCATGTGTCGCCAGTAGTTTTGACGACACTCACATATCACCCAGGAAATTTTTTGTCAAAGAACCCCATACGGATGAAATGTTTTGGATTAAACCCTATATAGGAAAAAAACCTCACTAAAGTTGAATATAATCAACTTTATTTTATGACTAAAAACATACAGTCAAGATTAGAATAGAAGTCAAATAAAAATAGACTTCTAAATCAATTTTAGTTCACTTCTATTTTATCTCATTAAAATATTTATATAATATATTCAATTTTAAAATGTATGTAATATGTTATTTATTTTATTTTATTTTTGTAAATGAAACCTTTTAGTTCTTATTAATTTGTTAGCATCATATGTTTTAGATAAAATAAGCATTCATTAAAATAATGAACATTAAATTGTTATTAAAAAAAAGAGTTTCTCTTTACAAATCATACAATTTTTCTTTACATCGGAATGACAGTTTCGGCCGTTGGGTATCCAATAAATCTTACTTTTTAACTGGAAAAACTGTAAAATATTTATATTTTTAACTATACTTTTCCTCGTAGGCTCCAAAATCCAACTCGTCCTTTTAATATTTTTAATCAAATATTTTTATCGTATGATTATATATATATATATATATATATATAATTTTTTTAAATTATAAAATTTAATACCCTAATGATATTGTTTTTAGAAAAATATTTATTAATTTTTTATATAATCTTATACATAAATTAAAAAAAAAAAACGTTTAGAATAAGGGTTTTGTGTATCACGTGTTAAAAAGTGGAAAAAGTTTATCGCAAGGTTGACAGCAATGAGTGGTGTCCTTCGTCGCTACTGGCTAAAATCATGGAGTCAACATCTTTTGCCTTTTCTGGGTGTCCATACTCTGCAGTTGCAGTAAGGATTTCCAAAGTAAGCTTTGATAAACAACAACTTTTACTTTCACACGCTTTTCCATGACAAAACAAAGTGGCAAAACTTTTGAATGATTTTTTTAAAAAAATAAACATTTAAAAAGTCCCTATTGTTTTTGTTAGGGTATATATTCAATGGAATTTCTAGGAAAAAAATCGATAATGCTGGCTTTGTTGAAATAAATACTTAACTGAAACTCTTAAAATAAAATCACTCAATCTATTGTATTCCCGAAGAAAATTTATTTAATAATAATTAAGATTATAAATATGAGATATTTTACACCTTTATCAATATTTCTAGAAGATAGAAATAGAACAAAATAAAATTAAAAATGAATAATTGAAGACCTTTTATGCTTTTATAATTCTATATATATATATATATATATATATATATAATATGAGAATAAAAAGGATAAATCAGAACTGTATAACTATATATAAATAGTATTAATAAAAAATAAAAATAAAATAATCACTTAAAAAATTCATGCAATCGAATTCATAGATAATTATATTAATGTAAAAAACTAAATATCTACTTAAGTACATTTACCGTTAATATAATATTATATTGTTAATACAGACTTACAGTATATACACTAGATTTATTTATTTTAATAAATATTACACTAATGCAAACAATCTTTATACCTACTTTTTTTTAATAAAATAAGTTTTTGAAAGTAACTAATAAAAAATTAAATTTAACGTACTGTTTGATGTCAAGTAATTAAAATATATAAGTAAAATTTTTAAATTAATAGTTATAAAAGTGTATAACTTTTGTTAACATGACATTATTAATGCATTTCAATCAAAGTCATAATAAAATTGTGTAATTAAATTTAGAATACATAAAAATCTTTAATCATTAATATTTATCTGTGTATTTATATACAGTCATTTATAGTGTACAACTGGGTAGCATTTGTATTGTATTATTTAGCATGTAGAAGAGTTCCGTACAGAGAGTAAAGCCTGGAATCCATGTGCTTCCTTTTTTGATGGCTCCAATGCTGCAAATTGAATCCCTTGTATTTCTCAATTTTGGTTGCCCTTGGAACCATAGAAAAAGCATCTGCTCCATCTCATTATTCTCATCGTGTCACGTGGTCGTTCTATTTCATGCAATAAATATACAACTTGGTTTCCTAAAGTCATAGCATCTGTTGATTCCATCCTCAGAAAATTTGTCTTTATAAATTTACTGCCTCAATATATAACATTTATTATTACAAATTAATCTTTTTGTTAAAATTATTCGGTTAAATAATTGAGTTCGCAAATTAACTGCGTAAGCACAACATTCTACTGTGATTAGGTGAATGAAAATCTGATACTGCATATTGGTTATTATAGAGGGACTAACATAACAAACGAATTTTTAGTATTATAACTAGTTAATCTACCCGTACAACCCTCTTTTCTTTGCCTCTAGCATTTCTAGATTTGTCAATACTATCCGTCATGCAAACAGTTTACAGATTACACAACTAAAAGATATACAAATACGTAAATCGAGTTTAGATATACGAACTGGAAATT